TTTGATGAACTTTTGAGACCATGTATCACGAGGCTTCACAGTAGGGGGGAAAAGTAAAAGGAACAGCCACGGGTGCATTGAAATGGATAGTATAGCAAGCTCCGACAGGAGAGCAATGTATTTTGAAATCGAGTAGAATGCAGATATTCAACCTTTCTTCCGTTCAATATCAAGCGTATGTAATATTGAATACATTAGGCTGGGAATCATATCTCACGGAGCTCTTAGACATCATTGTTGACTCTGATGCCGTGGGATCCGCATGGTGGTATCTTGTGTGAATATGATCTTGCTAATGGAATTTATCAACGGCTCGTATGCACAGCGACCCTGTCTCATCCTCCTCCCTGTTAACGTCAGCTAGTTCTTAATTGTCGTATGTGTGGAGGGTACCTAAAGAAGGACATTTTTCGGCGAACATATCGTCCCCGCAAGGTCCACAAACGATGCGGACCAACTTCGACTTACCCCGATGACCACCGGAGATAGTGGGTATTCTTCGCGGGGTCTTTTCCGATTCCCGTTGTCAAACCCACTCATCCCGTCATTTTGGTACACAAAGGGCCTTTTGGAGATGGCAGATGCAGGCAGACCGAGTTTACTGGCCCTTCCGTGTTGGCAGCATGCCTCGGCCCCCAGCTATGATCCCGGATATGCAGACCCGGTGCAACGCCGCGCTTCGCCAAGTCTGCACTATTCTTCAGCCAAATAAGTTGACTCCAGACTGCAAACCATCGGAGTGGTTCCACTTTCATTGGTCATTGCAGAAAGTAGTGCAAAGGCCATAAGTCTTAAAAGCATGAAGAGGCCTCTTTCACTTTTTCTGCTCCGCTTCCACCTTCGACCGACGGGTATATCTTACCGTGTTCCTTCACCCTCCACTCCGACAGTCACTGTCTAAGTTCAAATTCGAAACAGCCAAAAGTATCACACACATGTCATCATATGACTCTAAAGAAGAAGTCCTCAGAACTGGGGCAACTGAGCATGTCTCATCCGGTTCTTCATTGGGATTTTGCTGACTTCGATCTACTCCAGTCCTCTGTTTGAGAAGGTAAATCCATTCACACCCCCTAGTTTGTCCCACGAATGATTTCTGTGACTAACAATGATCACTAGCTTCTCAAACAAGGTGGAGAGGATGTAGTGGCCATGCTAAACTCAATTCATTCCGCTATGGTGATGCATGCCGATGCTGCACGCCAGCCCATTCCGGGAACCGCAGATACCGAATTTGAATTCGAGTTCAAGATTCCTACAAGGGACGGCTTCGAAAATCCGACGAGAGTTTTTAGACCACAGTCGCAAGTTCCAGATCGACCAACAGTGATTCTCATTCATGGGGGTGGCTTCACCATTGGCCACCCAACCCATGTAGGTCACTACGCCAGAGCCATAGCAAAGCTGTTTGGAACAACCGTCATCAGCATCACCCACAGGTTCACCCCTCAAGTCAAGTTTCCAACGCCCTCAAACGATGTTTGGGACTCTCTGGAGTGGATATTCTCCGCAAAAGACACAGCCAATGCCCCCTTGGGTGATTATACCAAGTCGAGCTTCGTCATTGGCGGGGTGTCCGCTGGTGCCAACCTATCAGCGGTGACAGCCCAGAAATGGGTCTCTGCAAAGCAAACTCCTAAGCTGATTGGAGTCTGGCTGGCCATCCCTTGGGTTCTGGAGCCAGAAATTTTGCCGGAGCAGCACGCCGAGCTATGGCTTTCAAGGCAGCAGAACGCCGACACACTGATCATCAACGCGGAGACTTTACGTGTCACTCGTGCTGCCTATCAGCCGGATGTCTTATCGCCCGACTTCTCTCCTTTTAACGACAGCAATAGACACAAAAATATGCCACCGGTCTACTTCCAAGTCTGCGGGCAAGACCCTCTACGAGATGACGGAATCATTTACGAGAAAGTGCTCAGAGATCACGGAGTGTCGACGAAAATTGACGTGTACCCCGGTGTTCCACATGGATTCGCAGATTTGCTGCCAGAGTTCGAGCTGTCTCAGAAATACTTGGTTGATTCTGTGAAGGGATTGGGATGGCTCTTTGATGTTGAGATTACAGATGCAGAGTTGGCGCAGGCTTTAGCACCATCCTCTTGAGCAAAGTGCCGCAATGTTTTGTCGTCTTCTCATCATCTGGGGGTTCGGAAAGCCGGACGTGGATTCTTCAGCTTGGTTGTTGTTCCTGTGTTATAACATTTGGTTCTAACCTCTGCTCAACGTAGTGCTACCTTTTACAAGATCAAATGTCTGCTGCTCTAGGTTCACACGCAAGAAGTTTCCTAGTCACAATGTCAAAGTTGGGATCACCACGCGAACAAAACTAAGACGCGACATAGAATAGTCTAGGAGGATGAGGATTGAGCTTATTTGAAAGTGACATTGAGTATTTGAGGCCCAGGTCTATTGCGGACTCCCCAACAAGAAAAGACTTCGAGTGAATCAGGGAAAAGAGGGCCACCAAGCAATTGTTGTGGCTGTTTAGTTCCTTGTCAGTCCTCGCTATTAAAGACGCCTGTCCCTGTTAGTGCGCTTTATTTGGCGAACATCCAGTGAGAATGGGCCGAGAAGTGCGTTATCCCACAGATATGAATGGCTGTTGCTCCAGCACGTAATATGGATCGTTGCTGGGTTGTTTGACTATGTGTGCCTCAATTGCTGTGTGAGTGATCAAGACGCCGATCATAGACTGTCCTGTTCTGCTGACTCCTCATTGCCGCCAGCTATCCGGACTCAATCCAACATCTCAATGTATCGGCCTCATCGGTGAGCAACCGCACTGAGCCACATTACGTATGGCTTGTAGTTGACGAGACATACAACACCACTGCCGTTCGAAAGCAACTTGGTGCCGTGAAGAATTTCAGTTCAATGTCTCACGACGGCCGACAAGTCCTGACCATCAGTAAGGAAAGCCTAGAGTTGACAATTGAAGAAGCTCGCGAGGGCTCTGCATGGCAGAAGTATTATTCTGACTCATCCCTGACATGGTTCTACGACCGAGTGAACAACTTCCGGCGACCTTACATGCCGATAGCCTTATGTCGCAACTGTCCGGCCGACCCCTCTTCAGACGATGGTACTGCCGATATTGTTTATGCAAGCCCGGAGCTGGCGAATGTGCTACGGGAAGCGAAGGCATCAACAGATGACGATATTGAGAGCTTCTTGGAGTCGTACATGAATCAAAGATCCATGCGACGCTCTACTTCTAGTCTCGCGTCATTTTTCACATTCAACTCCAAAAGTCAAGCTCCGCGTTTCGTTGTACGGGATAGCACTTTTGTCCGAGCTACAGGGGGTCAAGCAGACATGGAGTTGCAAGAGACACAGTCGAGACGCCGTCTCAACAGATAGAGTTCAGATCAAGAGATTTCCAGATAGATATATGATACCTAGGTACTTTGCTTAGAGGGAAAAAAAGTCAATTGGTTATGGGTATCTTGAATGCCTCTGTGGTACTCATAATGAACATTATCATGAAATGAGAGTCATATCCTTGCTTGTATGTTGACCCGTCTTTAACATTGGCGTATTTCCACTCATGGCAACTCGGCCACGTCTGGAATGTAATTCGCCGGAGACAACTCATATGAGTTCGCATGAGCTGCTTTATGATAGATCAACTCTGAATGCGATCTTTGGTACCTTGAATGTTTTTGTTCCATGAAGTCAGGCACAGAGCCAAGTGTGCTGTAGGGTTTTGCTTCAACCTTTGCAAGACCCTCTTCACCATCTGTATGCGACCTTTTCAGGGGAGGCTCCAGCTCCTTTGCATCCAGCACAGCATTTGGTCCCCAGAACGCGGACCCAAAAATGATTGCTGGATTCGATGACTCGCTCTGGGACCTTGAGCTTACTGACTTTGGTACCCCGGATCGATCGGCCGGCTTCCATAAGTCGATGGGTTCGGTTGAAGCTTGCCGCGGTTGGTATGGAAGAGAGTGTTTTGGGGTTGGAGCACGAGGGTGGGCAACTCGAGGAATGGTATAAATCGACGGGTTACCCGAAGCTATTCTGTCGAAGTCGTCATCGAGATTGAACGAGGTCTCGCTTGGCAATGTGTTCAGTGATAGTGTCGACATGGTCCCTAGATTTGTGAAGGTTGGAGAAGGCGGAATCAACGTTGGCGCCTCACTATCAAGCGTTGCATTCGACGGGTTGGGGTTTGAAAAGACGTGTATAGAATCAGGTGAGAACCATCGACCGGTTGGTGTCTCCAGTGTGGATTTCGTATTAGACCGAGCAGGAATAGTCTGCACGGGGAACACGCTTTCACCGGAGTTGACATGTCGCAAATTTGTCGAGGATCCTTCATCTCTAGTCGTTATGGAGTCTGGCTTGATTTCTCTCGACCGACGGAAGTACCCAGAGAACTTTGAATACCGGTTATGACCTTCTTTTTCCAACTCGCCGGGCTCGCTCGGCTGGTCGGCAAATGCAGGAAGAACCGGCTGGGACATTGCTGAGTCGCGGGCACTACGGATCGATGGGGTGGAAGACGACGAGGGGGCCAGCTGGCTCAGAGGATCGAACTCGGTGGTTCTTGTCGGCGGTGAAAGACCAAGAGTTGAAGCTGTTGATGAATACTCCAAGATACTATCGCGGGTCTGATTTCCGTGTTGAAATGAAAGCAGTCCAAGGTCGGCCGACGACGAGAATGCCGTGGGCCTGGCCTGTGAAATTGCTGGATGATAAATCGGGCCTTGGGGAACGGCTCGACTGGAAGTGTTTGGACGTGAAGTGTACGCTCCGGGAAATGAATCGAAAGGCGCCTCAAGTTCGCAGTATGGTTCATGGGCCGCTGTGGACGGATTGGCGGGGTTCGGAGCTGATGGATAGGTCAGGTGCTGAGGCGGATGGACGTGAGGAAAAGACACGGTCGACTTTGGCGCGGCGGATATTGGCGATGTCAGAATCGCTGCTTCAGATGAGAAGGATGATTTCTGATGTGAGTTCGTCCCTGCCGTTGATGAGAATTAGCAGCGACCTTAGATGATCACGGAAGCATTGCCAGCAAGCAAGCATAACTTGGGAAAAAGGTTGTGGCTAGCCATACCTGAGAACGCCATTTCTCCCATGAGGCCACCGAGAAGAGCGACATTGTCGAAGATTTCAGTTCCTTTCTTGATCTCAGTGGTGATAGCTGGCTTCTGTTGTTGTAGCTGCGGTGCGAGAAGCGCCGTTTGCCTCAAGAAGTTCAGCTCCGACAACACCGCTGCATGGTGTCTGCTGATCACAGGTTCCTGTGCTCTGAACTCTCTCGAATCGAATAAGACCCATCCGACACGGTTCTTGAAGGGAACCTTGCCGTTGTTGGCGTCAGGCCGGCACTTCTCGACAATCTGACACACCTCGATGAGGCCTTTGTCTGCGGCGGCGATGATTACGTTCACGCGGTTGAGTACGATGGGCGTCTTCTCAAGCAAGTGCAGGCATTCGTTCCGGATTTCGATCAGATGTTGAAGATCTCGATGGCATGTCTGTACGAGTTCAAGACTGCGGCGGACTTGAGATGGGACCTGGTCAACGTCGACACTGAAGAGAATGAGTTGGTAGGTCGCGTGGAGAGCAGACACGGAGCTGGTGATGGGATCCATGCCTAAAGCCCACGTTAGTAAGTGTCTACCGAAGAGAGTGGGAGTAATCGACGAGGCGCAATGACGAGGAAGCGGGGTATCTTACCGACTGGCTAGAAGAGAAGTATACCAGCAGCGAGCGACTGCTCTCCGTCAGGTGTTCTGGGGAACTGGAGAGCGTAAACGGGCAGGTAAATTGGCAAGATCAGAGCCTGTTTGTCATGGAGGGCGGAAGGCTTTGGCAACGGTCACTGGGGATCAAGACAAACTCAGTTCTCAGTTCTGAGCTATGAATAGCCAGCTGCGTGCCTGGGGAGACCGGACGAACGATGGGCGATGAGGTGGAACAGAATGGAAAGCCACGGCTGAACAGATGGTGGCGCACTGCACATAACTGTTGTGGGCTTGTCTCTCTCTTCGTACGGGCAGACACCAGTCTTGATCACTAAGGCATGGTTCGTAAAGTCATCACTCTCAAGAACTTTGATGATCAGAACTAAAAGTCCAGGGGGCAAATGCAACCCGCCCTTCTTCCTCCGGAGGATGCACCCTCTTCGGCTGGACTTATCGTCACTTACACGCATGGGGATCGCCAGTATTCGGCACCACGGAGGTCGTCAGGCTCTACACTATGCTAGGGCGCTCAGCAACGCCCATGCAGTAGGTAACAGGCTTCTTGGCGTGAGCCGATCCACTAGCTTGAGAGACTCAGCCGCTCTGCAGGGGGCTGAAAGGATCACGCACGCTTGACGCCGTTTCCAGTACGCCCCCACTGAACAAAAGAAAGCAAGCCTTCGATTGGAATTGAGGCTCCCGAGAAACCAATGAACTGAGATTAAGTTGTCGGCGGTGGGAACGGTTCGGGCTTGGGGACCGATAGGATCGTTGGTTGGGTTGAGAGTCGCTACAGCGCGGGTAGCCGCAGCCTGATTGTAGTGTAACCTTCATGGTTGTTCCCACGCGTGTAGGCAACAACGTTGGAGGTAGAGAGCAGGCTGGACGGACCTGGGAATTGACTGTGGTCTTGACTCCTCCCAAAGTCATCTAGTGAAATACCGATTTCGTAAAACTATCTTTCGTTTTTCGTCGGGGTGAGTATGATCTCCCAAGACCATGATGCGGCTTCATCTTGAAAACCCCGTCGGTGAAATAGACAAACGGAAGTTGAGCACAGTAGCTCCGAGGTCAGCGCTAGAAGGGCCGGTGCCTGCGGGTACGGAAACAAGCAATTTACTGCCTACCCCTGCCATGCAGTAAGCACTAGGTTTTCTATCGCACGCATCTCAGTTTCTTTCAGCAACGTCCTTCACCCCTGGTGTCCGCCAAAAGCAGGCTGGGCTTACGGTTGCTCGAGGGCGGCGATGGCGTGGCGGGTTCTGTGTCGTTCGTCCCTGGGACATCCGAATTGATTGCAGGGCGAGCCGTTCGTGATATTGAGGATGAATTATGGATCTTGTTACTATTCTGCTTTCAACTTCAAACCACACTGTCTGTCTCCTTCATGCCAATTTCCCTATTATCTTGGAAGATAGGCATGCCTTTCTCATCGGTTACGGCGAGGAACCTGTGTTACAACAGGTGCAACCACGCGACGAGGGGAGTTGTACATCTTGCCGTCCTTACTGGTGACCTTGTCCAGTCCCGGGCACACCACGACAGGTCGCACACCCGACGCACCTGCATCTTCGGTCTTGTAAGTGAAGCGCCAATCACTGGGCTGAGACACGATCTCGTAGCCGAGCTTCGTGCATTCCAGGATCACAGCCTGCAGATGGTCCAGCTGCTGACGCTGGCTCCCTTGATCCGCCGGAACGAAGTGACGGAGATATGCGTTGAGTGCGGTGGCGAGGCTCTGTGCTTTGGGAGATGCCTCCGACTCATTTGGAGAGAGGTGAATACGCTGACTGCGATTTGGGTGGAGGAGGAAAGCCGATAGACTTCGCCATTGTGAAAGCGCCAGTGTAGTTGCTTCAAAAAGTTAGCAGACGGTCATTGTCTTGAACGCCGAAGGGGAACTCGCCTTCCTCATCACCTCCACGCGACTCGACTGGTGGGATGGACTGGAGGAAAGACGCAATGGGTCCTGGCAGCATGGAGTAACGGCTCTTCGCCTTGAAGTCTATGCTTCCAAAGACCGCGAGAGAAACGACGTGTTGGAGGCCAGCCTGTCTAGTCTTCGGATCTATGCAGAGTGAAGCAATTTCTTCCGTGCTGAACTTGGATAGTTCTCCCAATCCCAAGTTTGAAAGACTGGGAGCGAGGGCGTGGGTATCGATTTGGACCGGGTTTGAATGGTAGTTGTTCTCGACATGTTGCTGGATAAGCTCCCCGAGAGATTGCAGTTCACCAGCCAACTCCTTGTCTGGCGTCGCGTCGAGAAGGAACTGGTTGATCTGGATGTTGTCGCTGTGGTTGGCGGGAGCTGAAGAAGCCAAGGCTTTGGACTCTGGGCCGACGATGATGTGCCCCGTGTCGGAACTCTGGGGCGAGTATCTTCCACTCTTCCGCTTCTTTCGTCCGAGAAGCAAGAAGGCGATGAGACCACCGATGATGACACCGGCTAGGAGACAACCTACGGAAGCACCGGCGATTGCGCCCGTCGATACTCCCGAAGACGACGATTTGTTTGTCGATGTGGGTGATGCTGAAGGTGTTCCCGGACCGGGCGTCTCACTCGCCACTTTCGGGCCTGGTGTCGTTGAAGCGCCGGTTGTTGGTGTAGCTGCTCCGGCTGTAGATGCTCCTGGGGAAGTAGCGTTCGACGATGTGCCTGCTCCATCCTGAGTGGACAGCGTTGCGGTAGTAATCGGAACGGTCGTGGGGGTAGGTAGGCCGTCTACGGATCCGTACACGGTCGAAAGTGTATATCCTGGTTGTAAAGACGAAGCCATGATGTCTGTTATTCGATCAAACAAACTTCAATAGCTTATGGTAGCGACGGAAAAGACCAGAGCAGAGATTGAAACTGCCTGTGATGGGAATGACCTGGAGAGATGTACTGAGAAAGGCTGGGCACTCCCAGCTCAAGTAAAGCCGACGAGAAGAATAGCCCGTTGTGGGAGCGAAGGATTTGCATATTGAGCTTCCATCCCTATGAACCACGCCCCCTCGGCCGCTCGCAAAATGGCGGCATCTGGAGAAACCCCGGTCTGCTCACTATTAGCCCAGCCGTATGCTACCTCGTGCTGACAGGCAGGGTCTGCATGTAGACACGGATGTCTGGCAAACGCATCTCCAGTTCCACAAAAAGCCACAAAAAGACGGCTGTGTTGCGGATGTGAAATTTGTTAGCTGCAGCCTGGTTCAAAAGCAGGGGGGAGGGTGTGGTGCGGCGGGACGCATTCGTGCCACTTCAACGCCTGGCGCGCCACGCTGAGCACAGAAACTGTCGCGAGGGAGTGAAAACATTCGCAGTCTTTGACCCTGTGCTTACTATTCCCAAACGGAATGATCGACGTGATAGCAAAAGATGGTGCCTAAAATGGCCTGCACAGCCTTGTCCAGCTTTGGGCGGCTCGATACTCATCGTTGCTTTTTGCCGTTGGCAACGGAAAGATGATGGCTTCCCAAGCGGGACGAGCTGAACTTGGAGGAACGCCGACCCCTGGCCCGATATCATTCTGCAGACTGCAGGTAAGCAACTCGCACGAGGCTGGCCGGCGGGGTTGTCTTAGGAAAGAGCTCCGAGGTAGCTGTTCTGCCAGCCTTCTCCCCCCGACACACCCTTTTCAAGCACGAGACGATAGAAATCTGGAACTGCCAGATGACTTTGTGATCTTGACGCCCTCAAGACGTGGGTCTGCTGTCCTTGCCCGACAGAAGAGAATCGCGTTGAATGCAATCGACACTTGTCAATCACCATGAGCGAGAAACCGGATGTATTGGTCTCAGTTGACCTTGGCACCACCTTCACAGGTAAGGTATTCTCACAATGCGCTACTTCGCGCACAGAGAATAACAAGAAATAACAGGTGTGGCCTGGATGACACCCAGAACGCCAATCCAAGTCATCAACGACTGGCCTGGCAGCGGCGACCGAGGCGAGCGCAAGGTCCCGACAGTCCTGACGTACAACGCTGACGGCAGCCTCTCAAAATGGGGCTTCATGTGTGCCGACGAGGAGGAGAACAAGCTGCGGCGCGAGTTCTTCAAGATCTTCATCGATGAGGATACCCTGGAGGCGTGGCAGCAGCGCGGACTTCCCAACGCGCCGCGGAACGTCGCCGAGGCGGAGAAGCTGGTGACCGACTTTCTCAAAGAACTGTACGCCCACGTGAAGGAGTCAATCGAGACGCAGGTTGGGAGGCAGCACACTGGTGGCTGGACGGACATGGCCGTGACGTTCCTCTTCAGTGTGCCGACGACGTGGACCAAGATGGAGACTATCAACGCGTTCAAGAGCATCATCCACGACGCTGGATTTGGCGCGGAAGGGTCGCGGCACTTTGCGCAAGTCGACTTGACGGAGGCAGAGGCTGCTGCGGTGGCGACCCTGAAGACGAGCGCCGTCAACTTTCACATGGGGAGCTTGTTTCTTACCGTTGACGCTGGCGGTGGCACGACTGATCTCGCGGTGATGCAGATCACATCAACTGACCCGCAGTATCCCCAGATGTCGCAAATATCGGAGGTCAAGGGCGTGGGCATTGGGGCGTCGTTGATTGATGTTGCGTTTATCCATCTTGTCAACCAGCGGTTGTCTGCGTTTCCGGACGTCCAGCGTTTTCTTCCCCGCGACTTCGCATTCAGGATGTCGAGGAGTCACCACTTCAAAACGGTGAAGCACAAGTTCGGGGAAAGGGCGTATATGCAACCTGTGTTCAAGATGCAGCTGGAAGGGGTATCGCATGATTTCAACCACCCCGGCTTGAGGATCGTGGACGGGAGAATGTTGTTTACCATGTGAGTGGGAGGTGCAATGAAGTTGGCCGTACGAGGTTGGCTGACAGGCGACAGGCAAGAGATCCAGGCGCTGTTTGATGTCCAAATTGAGGGCATAATGCGCTGTATCAGGGAGCAGCTCGACAGGCTCATCCAGAAGCAGCAGCCGCAAGCCATCGTATGAGATACTCCGTACCCATTGGACAAGAAGAAGACTGACAACGTCAGGAATACATGGTATTATCGGGAGGGCTGGGCGGCTCAGCATATGTACGGGACAATCTGCAACACCAGTTCCAGAGTTACTCGCACCAAAATGCAGAAAAGGTCGCGGTGATTCCGTGCCAGGATCCCCAGCTGGTGGTGGTTCGCGGCCTGCTCCTCGACCACCAGCAGAAGATGGAAACCGGGCGACTCTCGGTGTTGGCGACGCGGATTGCAAGAGCGAGCTATGGCGTGGTCATCAAAGAGGTGTATTCGCCCCAGATGCATTTCAACGAGGACATCCAGAATGACGCGTTCGACCCGAAGAAGAAGTGGGCCGTCAACCAGATTCGATGGCTCATTAGGAAGGTAAGTCTCAAGGTTTGGTAATGAGAGTCTGGCTGCTGACGACGACATAGGGCGACATTGTCGATCCAAATGCGCCACTCGTACATTCGCTGGCGATTTCCCTGGGCGCCGGAGACACGCAGAGATCATGGGACGCGAACATTGTGATTTCTCACAACGAGCCAACCTTTCTCCCGAGAAGCTTGAAGCACGGTAAGTCAACACACAGATGGCGACAGCGACTGCGGAAGGACTCGGGCAGTGACTGACGTCTTTGACCAGCGGGAGCAACGAAGCTATGCGACGTCAAGAGCAACTTGACCGGAGTCCAGCAAAACCAACTCGTCCTCAAACACAAACGTGGAAGCTGCTTCTCCAAGGGGACGACATATTACATTTTAAACTTTGACGTGCGGGTGATAATTGCGCCGGCCGATATCCGATTCGAGCTGTGGTTCGGCGGACAGAAGTTCTCAGGGAATCACGAGCCGATTGCCGTGACCTGGGATGAAGACGGAGTAAAGGCTGGCGGAAGCTGATCGACAGTCGAGGGAAACAAGCTCGCATGTGTGGATATCGCTAGCTGGTATTAGTGTCGTTCACTGGCATGGAAGGCCGATAAGCGATGGGCGATGATCCGGGCCAGGCGACGGAGCAAGACAGGGAGGGAGGGGTCGGCGGTGAGGTAGTGCATTGCAGATACTGAGGCCAGCCGTTGAACTTGCAGATGGCCAAACGTGGGGTGCAGATGGCGTTTTGACGTTCACCGCCGAGGGCATGGTGGGATGAGTGTCTCGAAATATCACGCGACAGCGTCATCGGCTTGGTTACAAAGATAAGCCGACAGGCGGCTAGGGCTTGACGGAGCGCAGAGGGTGTGTGGTTGCGGGCATGAGACACCTCCAGGAGATGCAGGGACACACAGGGACACATTTGAAGATGAGAGGCATGATGTTTGGTTATATCAGCGGTTGAATGGAGCATCGAGGGGCATTTGATGGGCAGTTACATACGTAGCAATGGCAGTAGAATCCTGACATGCTCATGTGAGAGCCTTCTCCTGAATGTGTAAAGTCGAAATTGGTCGGACAGGCCCATGATGAATGAGTAAGCAGGCTCTGCAGTAACATGATGTATGAATGACAGGGCGGAGAAGCGAGAGATGTGTGGTGTGGTGCAATAGGAGATGGATGGTGTCTAGCCAGGCTGGGCAGGGCAGGGCAGGGCCTGTCTCTGTGAGGGTGCCAAGCGTAATGCTTGGGCCGGCAGTGGTTGACACGTGGATGGGCGGCGATCGAATGGCAGTGGAATGGGATTCTGGAACCTTGGGACCTGGATCAATTTGGGACGTTGGGTGCAGCGCAGCAGGCGCTCAAGCCCGTGAGGCATCATGGCTCTGCAGGACGAGTTGCGACGGAGGGTGTGCATGAAAGGACCGACGGCGTGGATGCATGGAAGATGGTTGAAGTGGAAGTCCCGAGAGGGTTTTGGGGGCGATTTGCGGCTTTAGAGGAGCATTAGGCGGCAAGGGGCCGCGGAGGGTGAGATGAGACAGGAGGAGGACGTGCTTCGGGGTATTGTGGGTGTGGATGGGGGATGGTATCCATGTGGGATGAGTTGAGTTGAGTGAGGGAATGAGAGCTGATAGGGGTTCGAGACAAACAAGAAGAATTAAGGAAAGCCAGCGGTCTGGAGCAGCTAATAAATTGTGGGAGGCTTGCTGACGGCTGGTTGGTTGAATGCGGGAAGGCCGGGACGACCGGAAGCAGCATCTTGGGCTTCACGATGAGTGAGGCCTGAGATGGGAGAAAACTGAAGTCTTTGATGGTGGTGTTGTACGTTGAGGCGGCCCTAGGTAGTAACCAAGGCTGGGACTTGGGATGAGGTACCGACAGGCGATGGAGTGAAGTTCCAATGCCCCTCATGGCACTTCACCAACTCACTAACAACTTGCCTACCGCCGTAGGTCCCCGAGGCTAAGGTAACCAAGCTAACAGTCAGATGCAGCCACAGGACGCCATCCAAAGGCTAAGAGCATCAAGCGCCGTGCCTCAGGTTGTGATTCACAACTAGGGAAGATGAGCTGGATGTCCAGCGTCGATTGGCAGAGGTGCGGTTGCAGTGAAGCCACAAGGAAAGGTGCGAATACAAATAATGCCTCACGATATCAGCAGCTCAGTGTGTGAACGGATAGCGAGCAACCTGGAAGTGAAGGTGAGAGAGCATTGACAGCGCGCAGGTCCGGTCGGGCAGTGACCGTGGCAGTCCTGCGTACTGCGGGATCATGTAGGTACCGTTCTGCGGGGGGAAGGCGTGGAGGGGTACCTCCGCACACGGTGAGAACAGCTCGGGGAAGGTGGAAGGCGGAAGGTGCAGACTGAGGTGCAGTGTGAGGATGTGGAGGGGAGGGGTCCCGCCTGGCCCCACCTTCCACGCCAGCCTCTCGCCCCCTCAGTACCTACCTACCTTAGTAAGTAAGGTAGGTACCTACCTCTACCTGTCCAGTGTCCCCTCCTCATCCCAGCTGCCTGCCGTTCTGATGCAGGTGCAACAGGAGCAGTGATGCAGACGGGAGCAGTGAGGCAGTACGTACCGACCCCAGGGCACCTTCCCGTTGTCTTGAGCAAGAGCGGAACGTCTACACTCAGTCACAGCCCCGGGCAGCAATGACATGGAGAATCAATCTGAGCGCTTTCCATCCCCGATAATCTAACAAAAGGTAGACTTCAGTCAGGGCCTTAACTGAAAGGAAGAGAGAGAAGTGCTATGCTGAACGAACCGCAGAGCCCACGTCGCATGTTCAGCTGCCCAGAGTCCCAGACCAGCCCGGGCCGGTCCTGCCAGCGATTTCGGTCCAGACTGTGGCCCTTTCCGCATCCACCAGGGCCCATGTACCGTCTGGCTGTGACAAAGTACCCGTGCCGCCAGAGCCATACTGGAGCCCACCCTCCTCTGGCAAGAGTACATCGAGAGACATGGCCCTTCCTGCCCAAGGTAGAGCACTGTTCGGTTCGCTCCTCTCTGGAAAGCACCACCTCACCCCGACGTCTGGATGTACCTGACCTACCTGACCTACCTGACATCAGATCCGGATTTCCTCTTGGGCCCCTCCTGCCTTGATTCTTGACAATTCTTTTTTTATGGTTGTTGATCTTTTGCTGCTCGCCTCCTGTCACCTCCACAATCACGTCGTCCCTCTCTGCAGACGTCACATCGACTTGGCGACGTCGTCACTGCACCAACCCAACCCAAAACCCAAACCCACGCGACATAGAAGCAATCGCAGAAGCAGCCGCAGAAGCAGAAGCAGAAGCAGAAGCAGAACAGAAGCTGTCTATCAGAGTTTGTCCGCCCAGCGCACCAGCCACGCACGTACGACAACAACCGCCGCACCGCCCGCAGGTCTGGTGCTGTCTTCCACTGGCCTCCACGGCCTCCACCCCGTCCGTCAGGCCCCTTCACAAGCACAAGCACAAGCACAAGCTTCCCCGACCCGACAAGCCCGACCTTCTTTTTCTTGTCGTCTCCATCAATCAATCACTCACTCCTCCAAACCCCTGCTCCGCCGGCCGTTGCGCTGTATCCGTACAGATACTCACTGCACATACCTTACCTCACTGCATTGCACAGCCAACCTCTGCTGCAACCTGCTGAGCATCCGTCATTCATCATTCGCGCATCAACAACATTTCTTACCACCTTACCCGCCTCCCACCATTGCCGCCCCCCCCCCCCCCCCCCCCCCCCCGTTACCACCGCAGCAACGCAACCAGCACATCGCATTTCAACACTGCACCGCGCCCAGTTCTGGCGACGCACATCATCCGTCCCATCCGCCACATCCTCAACTCGACCTACCTGCCGCTTGACTTGACAATGCCCGCACTCCTTCTCGCCCTCGTCTGAAGGATGCATTGTTGACTCGACCCATCAACCCCCCCTCATCCACCACCGCGGCGGCAATTTCCCAGCAACCCATCCCCCACGAACAAGCTATCGATCGACCTACCTTTCTGACCCCGATTCGACCGACGACGACAACGACAACACGTTCACCTCCATTGTCCGTCCCTCCGACCGAGCCGATCCTTCTTACCGTCTATATTCCCGGTATCTCCCGTCCATACATCTTGTGTTGAGTCGACAGTCATTCTCGCCGCCATTGCCGCCACTCCTTCAGCCGCAACCCAGCTTCTGCTGCTGCTGCTGCTGCTGCTGTTGCTTATCGCCACGACCCAACAGACCGTGGTCAACCCCGACGGATTCACAGCAAAGCCACATATTGTACATCACTAGCAATAGCCATGGGAAATTCAAGTACCAAGGAGTCTCGTGCGTCCGATCCGGCGACCGACTACCGTCAAACCCAGGCCGCCTACCTCAACCCTTCCTCCTCTCGCGATGCACACACCGACCGCCCTAGTTCGCGGAGACAAAGCCGCTTCAGCCGCGCTGACCTCAACTTATTGGGTCTCGGAGCTGCCGGATCTTCAAATGCGGGAGGCAGAGAAGATGCCCCGTATGAGCGCAGGGAGACCAGGCAAGAGCGAGAGGCTCGTCGCTTGGAGAGGGAGCGCGTTGCCAGAGAAAAGGAAAGAGAACGCAGCATGAGGGAGGAACATGTCGACGGCGGCTACCTCGTCACTCTCGGTACCTACACTGGCCCCGAGGACTTCAGCAAGCCCATTGTCCGCCAGCTGCAGGTAAGCGTTCCTGCCAGAACACCCGTGTTTTCGGCACTACTGACATGCATGCGTTACAGCTTGAGAGACGCCTCGCCCCATTCTGGAGAGGCCTCAACGACTATTCAGACAACTGGACCGAATACCAGCTCATCTGTGCTGGACGTGGCCTAGACATTCCTGCCGCAGATGAGCAGCCTCCTCCCGAGTTCATCCCCAAGGCGAACACCCCCGCTTCACCAACCGACTCCTCCCAGAACCTTGCGAACCTGACCGTCCCCATGGGCCCCCGCTCATTATCCGTCGGCTCAGATCGCAGCGGTTCCGGCCCGGCCTCTGGAGTAACCTCGCCCAACGCGGCTCAGCAGCAGTCGCGCAGCATCAAGCCGCGGGCAAAGGCCATTGCCGCAGCTCTCAGTGGAGGTTCCCGCAACAGCTCCGCCACCGAAGTCGCACCTCGCGAGATACAACTGCCCAACGACCCTTTCGTCAACGGCCAACCTCTCGAGGTCTTCCTCTACAAGGACGCTACCGAATGCCCCATTTGCTTCCTCACATATCCCCCGTATCTGAACCGCACACGCTGTTGTGACCAACCGATCTGCAGCGAGTGTTTCGTGCAGATCAAGCGCGCGGACCCCCACTATCCCGAGCACCACGGAGAGCCCAACGAGCAGCCGCCGACGAACCCCGAAGAGTCCCCCGAAATGCTCATCTCCGAGCCCGCGCAGTGCCCCTACTGCCAGCAGACGGAGTTTGGCGTCACCTACGATGCCCCTCCATTCCGCCGCGGTCTTTCATATGCCATCTCGGGATACCCATCGCAGGGCACAGCCATGTCGTCTCAAAGCTCTCTGAACTCTACGCTCTCGCCCACCTCGCCGACTACAGCTAGCAGGCGCAGAGCACAGAGTTTGTCCGCCAACGCACCGAACGTCATCACCACCGATCGCGTTCGTCCAGATTGGTCTACAAAGCTGGCTGCGCAACGAGCGCACCAAGCTCGCAGGGCGGCTGCGGCGACTGCCCTGCATACCGCTGCCTTTCTCATGGGTAACAACGAACAGCAGCGCGGCTTTGCCTTCACCAGGCCAGGCAGATTCAGCCGACGCAACACGGGTAACCACACCCCCTCTGGGCCTTCTAACGCTCAGGCCGAAGGAAGCCCGAATCGCAATGTCGAAAATGAACCCGCTCAAACGGGACCTGAGCCAGGACCGCGGGGTTCTTCGGGGCGGGGACCACTTAATAACAGGCGCAGCAGAATGGAAGAATTGGAGGATATGATGTTCATGGAGGCTGTGCGCTTAAGTTTGGCAGCGGAGGAGGAGAGAAAACGAAAGCAAGAGAAGGCGGACCGCAAGGAAGCCAAGAAGAAGGAGAAGGAGGAGCGCAAGGCTCTCAAGAAGCAGGACCGCCAAAGCGTGTACGGCCCTGGACAGAGCTCTGCTAGTGGTAGTAGCTTGTCCCTTGGTCTCGGGCGACGACGCGGAAACAGCACGACCAGCAACCTCCGGGTGGAGGCAACAGTCCAAGGAGCCCAGTCCACTTCCGCGGCCGGAAGCGCCGAGACATCCCCCGTGGCAGCATCCACCAGCCCCAGTCCAGGTCCTACCTCGGCCCCCAACACCAAAGGCAAGGCAGTGGAGCGGCCACCCGTCGAGACGCAGTCATCCGAGAGCAGCTTCCAGAGTACCTCATCAACGCCCTCGCTCCCAATTCCCGCACCTAGTCGTGGCCCTTCTCATCTTAGGCAGATGAGCAATGCGTCGTCGATTTCGTCGTCGCTTGCTGATAGCCACAACGGGAGCTACACAAACCCGGCATACCTTGACCCTCGCGCTAGCGAGCTAAGCGTCGGGGACGAAGGTGACCGGGACAACACGGAGCCTCTGTACAACTTCAGGAGCTTGGCAGAGATGGTCGGAGTTGATATCGAGAACGGCGAGGCCAACCAGACGGAGGAGGGAGCTGTCGCCGGCGAGGGACAGAGCGCTGCATCGAAAAAGAAGAAGGCCGAGGCTGAGGACGAAGCGGAGGCCGAGCAAATTGAAGATGCGCACACGGAGCAGCCGGTGCAGACCAACGCTGGCACCCTGAAGCCACCGCCGACGATTCCCGAGGAGCCCAGAAACTCAATCAGCGGAGACGAAGTTTCCTCCGGCAATGAGCCATCGACTCCCGAGGTGATGATCACGCCAGTTACTCCCGCCCCTGCAACAGAAGAAGATAACGAGACGAAGAGGCTTGGGCATGAGAACGTGGTGGAACGTTCATCGGAGATTACGCAGTGAGGGAATGGAAATGACGACCATGAGGAACGTACCCGATACGAGTCGCTCAACGGCAGCATCTTGGTATGGCGAGGTGGCGGGCACTTTTGCATACACTCGGAGGTTGGGAAACTGAGAACACTAAAGGCGTAAAGCGTGATTTTGGGGGCCTGGTGGGATTAGACGTGGTCTCTCCTTTTCCTTTTTTTCTCTTCTCTTCATGCCATGTGAATGGCCGGCTCATTGTACTCTACCATAAGTGAGACGAGTTGCGAGGATCAGATAGATCTCTGCAGCTAACAATTCTATGTATCTATGCAAACGCTGTAACATGCCAAAGCTTTCCGGGGCATCCAAACCTTTCCTTCCAGACATCATCTACACGTGAAGTGTGCATACTACAGATGCGGCTCTGCGGCGGGAAGAGTTGCGTCAACTGCAGACTGTGCCCGCTGGTTCACGAAGCCCTCGTCAGGGCTGGCCCAGCTGTAGTTGCGCCACTCTCCCAGGGCAGGCCACATGTGTTCCGTTACCAAGCGCTGGATCTTCTCATAGCGACTTACCATCGAGCCCTGGTACTCTTTCTTTTCACCTTCGGCCTGGGTGCCCGAGAGATCGCGGAGCACAGCTTGGAAGTCGGCCCACGTTTCCTCCAGCTCCTTGACAGACGTGACACCCATGACGCTCACGCCGACCCTGCCAGGTCCAGCGAAAGTGGGCGGCAGGAACTCGGTGCCAAAGGCACCGCCTACGCGAGCCCAGTTGGCCATGGCCCAGTACAACGCGACGTCCTCCATCTTCTCGCCAGCACCCTCGGCAAAGGCGACGAGGCTCTTGCACAGCTTGCGCAAAGGGCCCGGGGCAGGATGCCAGCTGGCCATGGGCCCGTCGTCGACGCCGCGCGTGGTCAACAGACCCATGCTCAGCATGCTCGCGTTCGTGACGACGTTGACGCCGGCATCCTTGAAGCGGGCGAGGATCGCGTCGGAGCCCAGGGTGTTGTTCTGCACGCAAAAGTGCGAAAAGGACTGCACGGCGTCCACGGGCTCGCCCGTCTCGCGGAGGATCTTCTCGGCGAGCTCGCAGAGGACGGGGACGGGGTACCCGCAGATGCCGACGTAGCGGACGAGGCCTTCGTCGCGCAGGCGGCGCAGTTCGCGGACGGCGGCGACGACTTCGTCGGGGGAGACGAACTCTGCGTCGTGGGTGTAGACGAGGTCGAGGTAGGACGTGTTGAGGCGCTCGAGGCTGCGCAGGACGGAGGCGCGGATCCAGGAGGGGGAGTAGTCGAACTCGGCGGGCGCGATGCGGCCTGCTTTCGTGACGAGGAAGTAGGACTCGCGCGGCGGGGAGAGGGTGCGCAGGGCGGCGCCGAGGATGGATTCGGAGGGCCCGTAGTAGGGGGAGGTGTCGAAGGCCGTGATGCCGAGGGAGAGGGCGCGGGAGACGATTTCGACGGAGGGCATCTGCGAGGGGTCGGAGACGTATTGGTAGTTGAAGGTTGCCGTGCCGAGGATCAGAGGCGGCAGGACGGCGGACAGGGGGCGCGGATCGGCCATGATGTTGCGAATATTGTGTTTTTTTTTTACCACACGTTAGGGAGATAATTGACTGGCAAAACTTGGTGTGGCTATTATCAAGGTGGTAAAGAGAACCTTGAGGGGTGTCGACAGTATTTTGACAAGAAAGCGAGGCTGTCGCAGAAATCGGCGCAAAATCAAAAAGATCGAGCACGTCAATGATTAGTTTTGGGGTCCCAAGATGGATAGTCAGGGACCCCGCGTGTGTCCGAGTGCCCCGAATGCGATCTGCCCCGCCGGAAAGGTGGGGGAGGGACTCTAATCTTCTGCTATTCTGTCTCTGTTCGGACAGTGTTCCCTTGCTTTTGCTTGAAGCGGAATGGGCTGGGTCGCGCATTCTTGGGGCTGGTAGTAGCTCCGGCAGGCAGGTATGTCGTGCTGGGGAGGCGGAGGAGAGATGTTAGTTCCGAGGACCGAGACGCCGCTGACTACCATGCGTGATTGGCCATGTTTGTCATATCTCGCTCGCTGGCTGGATGTTGTTTGCTTCCGTTGTGAACAATGCCATTCATCGAACATGGAGGTGCCTCTGTGACTTGGCGATGTTGATGAATCTACATCGCGATGGGGCATCCTCGATCTGGGGGAATGGGGCTGACGCCATGACTCGGCTGGACGAGTGACTTTTCTGAGCTGGTTTATCTAGCAGAGCCTGGTGTTATCGACGCGGGGCTGTCGCGTTGGCGCCGCTCTGGGTCATGGCGGTGAGTGATGGTGGGCATGGTTAGCATCGTGATCATAAGAGGTTGGGCGCGATGGAGGTGCAATGGACGTCTCGCATCCAGGAACGTGGGTATGTTCTGGAAGAGATGCAATGAGGGGAATATGAAGGATCGATCATTCGACCCTGACAGCCAGTCACACAAGAGCCAAGCTGGATCTCGTGTTCCGCGTCATTCCCAACGATGCTTATGTAAGTGCTTCTGTCTGTCATATCATATCACCCTGGTTGGCTTCTTTATCGATAAGGTCAAACAAAACACGGCGAAGCTCATGGACGTCAACAACCTCCATACCTACCCATGGTGGTCAACTCCGCCGGGTCTTGTTTGTGACCAATCCTGAGGTCTCTTCTTGTGGATAGCATTCGTCAAGTCTCTCGCAGCCATTAAACGAAAGTTTTGAATAGCCTACCGCTTCCTGTGCACTTAACCGGATCAATAGCCTAAACTTAGACCCGTAACCAGTTTGGCTTTTATCCCTGACGCCTTTCTACTCAAGAGCATGTGATCCGAAAACTGCGATACATTTCACTTGCCGTTTAAATCATCAGTTTGATGCCGATTACAGTCAGGGCGAACTGCCTCCGTCGTTTATTTCCATGTCGCCACAACGTACTGCTACTAGGTACGCCTAAATATGCTTCCAATTAATGCCTGGTTTGGGAATGGAAACTGCAACACTGGTCACCCGGATGTTACTTAATTTCTCTTGCATTCGTCACAAATGACTGCCTCATGAGTAGTAGTCTAGTGGGCGTGGTACCGTAAACGACGGATCGGTTGTAATCTGCAGACCGCTTCCTTATGGAGGCTATTATGCGATATCTTTTCCATCCATGTCGTCGTCCGTCATGCTGCCAAGGTACCATCACCCTCTTGAGCTGTCTCTTGATTCAAAAAGATGTTTTGCCAATACTACTAGGCCATTTCATCCGCCTTGGCCAACATTTGGCATTTGGAAATCCATATTAAAATCATACTTTCATCATGGCTCATGACACAACATGCTGGCGATGACCTCTTCTGCTTACATTCAGGTCTCTTCTGATTGCACAGTGTCTGTCAGGATTGTCGAAAGATACTTGGAGATGTGCCCAATACCATGGCATACCTTGAAGCACAGGAGGATTCCACAAGTGGTATTGACGCGCGCCACTCGATGATTCCGCTTTCCCAGTTGAGGACGATATGGCCTCCCTTTCGATAGCTGAGTGTCTCCCCGAGAAAGCTATTTGAATATCAAGAGACCTCGGATTCCTTCACATACCACAATGAGATTTGGCACGGTTTCTTTGACGTCGAGTGCCGACAGATCTCCAACATGCGGCCGTCGCTGACCCCTCTCCGCACTTTTGCCTTAGCTGGCCTTGGTAAGCACTGTCCTTTCTAGTTTGCAACAATATCAACTCAAGACCATGTTAGCTATTTCCCAGGAGCAGTCAACATACTGTGACAGCCTAGGTCGTTGCTTTTCATCGTATACCAACGAAGGCGGCATTACTTTTGGTATTGCTGTCCCTGAGGGTACCTCCGTGGGCCAGCCTTACGATGCCATCGTTCAAATTACGGCTCCCATCGCGGTGGGCTGGGCTGGACTGGCATGGGGAGGATCCATGACCTACAATCCTCTCACCATTGTATGGATGAACGGGAACGAAGTCACCGTTTCTTCACGCATGGCCTTGTAGGTACCACAATTCTCCTCAGAGACGAATCAAGTGTTCATTATTTCCAGTGGTTACTTCACGCCACCCCCGTACGAGGACGCCGAGTACACTGTCCTTCCAGGCACTGTTGTCAACAACACTCATTACTCTGTCACCGCTCTTTGCAAAGGCTGCACTTACTTTGCGCCCTTCGGCAATGATCCAACTGCCCTGGATCCCAACGGAGAAAATTACCTTGCCTTTGCGTACTCGGGTGTTCCAGTCGACGACCCTTCATCCAACGAGACCACTTTTGGGATTCACGAGCGAACGGGACACTGGTATCATGACTTCAGGCCGGCGCAAGCTGCTGACTTCGACGAGTGGGCAAGCGGCAGCAGCGGGAGTGAGCCACCTGTTGGCACTACGACTGTGACGACTCTAGCGACAGCAACTTCAACCACCACGGTCCACAGTACAACCACCCTTCAGACTACAGTCACCAGAACCGGAGTCTCTCCCAGTAGTGCAGCATCAGCTGTCTCATCTTCTTCACGTGCCACGGTAACATCGTCTATCGTGTCCAGAGAGCCCGCGCTCCCTGTTCCCAATTCTTGTGCCGGTGTGAGCGCCTTCAGGTTCGGGTTCCAGACCGCCAGCGGATGGAGAGCTGTCAAGCTCGCCGGTTCTCTTTCTGGTCCTCGTGGCGTTGCGGTGGACTCACAGGGCAACCTTCTCGTGGTTCAATCTGGAAGAGGTGTCACAGTTCATACTTTCGGCAGTGACGGCTGCATCTCGTCATCCAAAACCTTGATCAACAACCCGTCTCTCAATCATGGAATCGGCTTCACGCCAGACGGGAAGACTCTCTATGTCAGCTCCATGACTACCGCCTGGTCGTTCACGTACGACGCCCAATCGCAGACAGCAGGTGGGCAGACCGTGGTAGTAAAGGGCATGCAGCAGGGCGGACACCCGACGAGGGCGCTTCTTATCCCCCCGGCCACGCCACACTTGCTTGTAATTCAGCAAGGCTCCTACAGCAATTTCGACTATGAATCACTTAACAAAGGCGTTGCGCGGGCCGTTGTCAAGGTGTTTGACTTGCGCAGTGTACCCTCCGGAGGCTACACATACAACACTCAGGGGTGGTTCCTTGGCTGGGGTCTCCGCAACGAGGTGGCCCTCGCCGCCGACGGAAACAACATGTGTGTTTTAGACTCTCTCTTCTCTTTCTGTATCGATAAAGCTGACTTGTAATCTAGGATCTGGGGTGTGGAAAACAGTGGAGATGACTTCGCTCGCACAGTGAATGGCAGGAGCTACGACATTCACAATGACAACCCTGCAGAGGAGCTGAACTTCCGTAAGTTCATACACCAATGATCCATTTTACCTCTATCCCGCTAACACCGATAGTTGGCGACCCTTCCAAGCCAAATGAAGACTGGTACGGTTACCCAACCTGCTTCACTGTTTGGGAGCCCTCCGTTATTACGGATAAGTCATTCAAGGTCGGCCAACAATTTGTCGTTGCGCCGAACAGCACCTTCAACGATGACACCTGCACGTCTCGTTCCATCGCGCCTCGACTTTCGATACAAGCCCACAGTGCGCCCATTGGGTCCGTCTTTGACCAAACTTTCCAGAACCTATACGTCACGCTACACGGGTCTTGGAATAGGTCCCCTGCAACGGGATTCAAGGTGTCTGTTGTCCCATTCACAAAGCTCTCAAATGGTCAATATGATCCCGTAGCGGCTCCAGACTCAAAGAATGGCTACAGTGATATCTTCTGGAGCACGAATGTGGGCAGCTGTACTGGAGCGACGTGTTTTAGGCCGTCTGGTATCACTTGGGACCGTGAGTTTTCGAGGTTGTTCGTTGCTAGCGATAACACCCAAGAGGGGGAGCTGTTCATGTTGGTTAAATCATAGCTAGAAATAGGATCACGTATTGGGGAGATAAGGTAACAATGTTGACCACCGACTTCCTCCTGTTGATAGTGAAGTCGCTCCGCCACTTTCTCACCATTGCGGAGCACAACTTCGATTTCATTTCCAGATGTCTCGTCTTTAGAAGTTGCAATCAATGCCAATCAATGGTTCCATGGTAATCTTTACTGCCAAGACAACAACAGCCGACACTCACGATAGCCGGGGCATGTCCCGGAACCGCAAGCGCCGATTTTCCCCATTACGCCAGGTCGGAGGAATGGGGACTCTGCTCCGGGTACATAATGCATTTCGGCATCTTTGACGAATACCCGCCGGTCAATGCGGTCCGAGGCGCAGTATTCCAATCACCAAGGGTCTAGGATATGCAGTCTTGTGACCTTAGATTGTTGCCTGGTAGGTCGGATGCGCAACTGTACACAGGTTCGAACCATGAACGCCATAAGTCGCACAGGACTGGCCTTTATTCATCGCCTAGATATTATTGATCGTAGATGAACGACTCGTCTGAGGGTACTAGTGTGGATGACGACTCGGAGCGACGCGATAGCAACGAAGAGTGACCTCAGTTCACCGGGATCACTGAGGATGAGAGGGTTACTATGGCTGCTGTTCTCCAAGACAGCTTCCAGCGCCGCATATTGGGTGAGGAAAGGGCCTTTGAGGGCGATCAGCTGGTTCGGGAACGTCGCTAACCGTCCTAGTGACAACACTTTGGAGAATGTGATGGACGGTATACAAGCGTCATCACCCACGAGCCTCGGGGCAACAAGCGTCTCTCCGGCATTCCGAATGCGCACATTGGCTCCTGCTGCCAACTGATTCAATGTTGTAAACTTCTTTGGCAGCTGGGTTGCCACGTGTCACCGCCAGCTTTTCACTAGCCGTGTTTTCATTAACAGTCACGGGGCGCAGGATGACATTGGCTTCGGAACTTTCATCGTCAATGTTGTCGCAGGACCATTTAGGAGAAACATTCTTTTACCTTTGGAAGATGGCAAGGGGCCTGAGCACAACAACCCTTGATCTGCTGCTTCGAGCGACTATTGAATTGAGCGGGCGAATGGTTGGAAGAGTTTCGGTGATTGAAAGTCCAGGTATTCTGGATGTGATCTATGATTTGGATTGAAATAGTGAGAGTGGCCGCGTTGATAGATGCTATTGGTTCTAGTTGCCCCGAGCTTTCATGCTTTCCGGGATGTCGCGACACCAAGATCTGGATACGGTGCGACGAAATGTCCGAAAGTACCGTCTTGGCATCAGGGATGCAGCAAACTTTCTGACAGAGACGAACGAGGGAACAGTTACAACAGACAATAGCATCAGGAGCAACGCGAAGTATGGCACTTGAATAAGTCTATTTGTAACCTACAGGAAGGCACGAAGATCGCCCCCAAAACGCGACCTGTAGATCTATGAGTGCAGCTAGCTAAATTGGATCAATGTCCTCCAAAGAAATGAAATTCGCTCTGCTATGGAAATTCTTCGCCATGCTCTCGATCTGAAAATGCGCAGTTAGGATTTTGAACAAGTTGCATGCGGGGAGTTTTCAGGGGTTTCCACCGAGAAGTCACTGGGGGATCCCCTGAAGAAGTTCCTCGAGGCTACCAGAGGTAACCACAGTGGTTTTCTCACACAGCTCAGGGGGGCAGTTTTCCTCATATGCCTATCGAAATTTGAGTCAGCAACATGATACGTTCGGTTCTAGATCTTGCTTACATATAACGTTCCAGGCTTTCCGGTGCAGTCGTCTCTCAGAGGTACATGCCTGGTGACCGATTCAGCAAGAGAGGTCGGGCTCCAATTGAAAACCAAAGGAGCGAGTGGCTCGGCCTCGCGGTATTGGTTGATGTTCTCTGTGTCAAGGATCAGTTACTCGACTCCAAAACGTTTGGTGGAAGCGGCAGCATGATACCTTCAAAGTGGTTGACAAGCTCCAGCATGGTCGAGTTCCTAATACCCCATCCCACGCCAGTGACTCCCCAACGTTTGCCCTTCATGCGGTCTGCAATGTTGGAAGCCGGTTAGTCGGGTCCTTGGAAGAGAACTGTGCTCCATCTTTTAGTTCCAGTAACATGTATTCTTCCCGTATAACGCACCATAGACATTGAATCCAGCCTTAACGAGGTTTGCAGTATCGTTGCGCAAAGCAATGTCAGTTTGAACCGGATCAAAACCTCTAGAGAGGACAAGTGGATGGTACGCGGTAAGTCCGCTATAGACAGACACGTTAGAAAGTCGAGGGAACCCTTCTCTCGTTCAACTCACGTGTAGAACACGTTCACCTCACCGCAGGTTGCGTTGGTGGGGAAGGTTATCTTAGGTGTCGGGATCGGGTCGCTGGCATTCGGTGCAGTCAGAGCTCATCCAGCAGCAACACAGACAGCTCGGTTGAAGAGGACCATGATGGGAAGCTTGAAGTATAAGTTTCGGAAGAAAGTTACAGAATCTTGGGAAAGATGAATGGATTAAACTGTACATGTAGACAACGAGTCTGAGTCGAACTTCAACATACATGTATCGAAGTCGAGGATCCTGAATCTATCTTATAGCTAATTTTCCGACATATCATGTGACGCATATGCTTAACACTTGATCTTTACTTCCTACCATGCTAGAAAGCTTCGCCCATCTCCAGTAAACCAGCAGAGTCATCACCAGAGCATCTCGATATCCACTTCGGGCGCACTTTTCGGACGTTTCGGATGGTCGAAATGCGCGACTCGCCGCTGTGCCTTCCAAAGCTCCTTGACGCAAGACCAAGCATCGCAACGAGGCCAAAGCAGGAACTTCGCGAAGTCAATTTCAGTTGCAAGGTATCAATTCTGGGCATCGCAACAAGATTACTCATGAAGCTCCTTAGTGGGGCGTTTGCTGCAGTATCTAGGCCGGTCCGCTGATTGTCTTCCGGTTGACTAAGCGGGATCGTCTTCTGGCCGTAGTTGTCAAGATGTGGTCAATATTCGAGTCGGAGGTGGCCGGAGAGCGGATCACAGAAGAATTTGGGAGTCGATTTCAAACCAAGTGTGCATTTCTAAGCCGGAATCTACCAATGGTTGCTGCTCACCTTCCAACAGGACGGACGCGGACTTCTTGGCCACTTTCATCCGAACACCTCATGACGATGGAGCTCGCTGCGGAGCTCAAGGCATAGGTCAAGGCGCAAAATGTGATATTTAAAGTGCGTGGCTATGAGACTCTCATCTTCAACAGCACTACCAACAACGCTTGTTGCGATACCAAAGATCATCATTCTCCAGGCCGCTTTGGAACACGGTACTATACGCAGCGCAGCTATGTCTCTGATTAAGCCCGTCACTGTATATGTCCTAGGTACGCCTTAGACACACGCGTAGATGGAAGACTGTGGGCTAACAGGTTGTAGGAGGTGGCCCGAACCCTTTCAAGGTCTTGATCACCCTGGAAGAGCTTGGCATTCCATATGAAAAAATCGAGGTCGAGGACGTTAAGAGCGAAGCATTTCTCAAGCTAAACCCCAACGGTCGTACCCCAGTCATCACAGATCCCAACAATGACAACTTCACACTATGGGAGTCTGGCGCGATTGTCGAGTACCTGGTCGAGAAGTACGATGCGCTGGGGAGTTTGACCCTCAAAGACAAGAATAGCAGATGGCTACTGCAACAGTATCTGCACTTCCAAATGTCGGGACAAGGCCCCTATTACGGACAGGCGGTGTGGTTTTACCGACAGACTGAAGACATCCCAACCGCCAAGCACAGGTACATCGAGCAAGTCTTGAGAGTATTCGGCGTCTTGGACGGAATTCTCAAGGACAGGGAGTACCTCGTTGGTGGCAAGTGGTAGGTACATTGGCCCCGACATTGCTACAAGGTGCTTACCAGTCTAGCACCTACGCCGATCTATCCTTCATCCCGTGGAACCTGGTGGCTCTTGGAGCACCGTTTTTCAAAGACGAGCTCTGGGAGAAGCATGAGATTAAGACTCGCTTTCCTCATTTCTTGGCATGGCATGAACGCCTCAATGCCAGGCCGTCGGTCAAAGCTGCCTATGGAGCCTGAGGTGAAATCTTTATAGGTGTCTGGCTCGTAGCCCTATGCAAGGTGGCGGACCAGACATCGTAGATGGGAAGAAGGATATTAGTATGCGCAAGTATGTGATGGACTATGGGTGGTCCAAAGAATCATACTACAGTGGTATTTGTACATAAAGCTACGATAATACATGTACGTAAATGATTGCCTCACAGATTGCCATCAATCATGCTATCTGGTGGCAAGTTCCAATCGACTATTTGCAAGAATCCAGCCGAGAGCCAGTTATGGCTACCGTGGGATATGCCCTCCCAGTTGTCCTGGTCAATTGCTTCAGGGACCGGGAGAACAGGCACAGACTCTTCATTTCCATTACGCTTGTCCATGGTCAAGCTCAGACCATTGAGAGCTGTGCCGAGGGGTTCCTGCACCGCGTTTGGTGGATCCACGACAACAGATACTGCTACTTCGTACAATGCCTTGATGATGTGGTAGGAGGCAATCTTCTGGTGGTTCACGTCATACCTTTCGTAGAACGAGAGGACGAGTTTGATCAGCTCGATATCCTGTGCCGCTGTGGCGCACGTCTTGTTCTCGATGATATTGATGAAGAGAATGTTGACGCTCCAAGCTACCTGATAAAGAAGGTATCTGGCCTGAGTCAGTATGGTCGGGCAGTCTATCCATTGAGGTGCTACTGACATTGTGAAGGGATGGTCGATGTGGTGGTAGTTCAAGAGGGATACAGCCCCACGAGCAGCATTGACGCAGATAGCAACGCTTGGGCGCAGAAAGTCCATGTCCTGCGCAGACAATGACATTCTTAGAGTCGCCGAATGAACAGCTACCACCAGCTGGAAGTACACGAAGTGCAAGACACTCAATGCCATCAATCTAGCATGATTGTCATCATCCAGAGAGGCACCTGACTGCTTCGGGCGAATCATTTCGGGGATACCATCCCGCCATTCCTGAAGCTCTCTATCCAGAAGGCCAATTTCAGATTCTAGGGCAGTCGCTGACGTCGGGCTGTTCAGATACAGTCTTGAGTAAATTCGGCCCTGGATTTGTGCTAGCTTGACTTGCTGTCGAAAGTAGTTGAGAACGACGTCGCCCGGATAGTAAAAGAAGCCATAGCAGTCCAAGGGATACTCTTCGGGCAAGTCGACGAGGAAGTTATCAGTGATTAGAGGCGGCTTCCCAATCCGTAGCATCAAGTCATGGTCAAAGATGTAGGCTTGCCAGAAAAGACGCCGACGATGTTGGATTTCCGAGTCGCTTAGGCCGGGATGGTTGCTATGGTAGTAACCTCCTAGAAAGAGTGACTGCGTTGCTAGAGCCAGAACAGAAACGGCAATGTGGTTTTCGGCGGTAAAAATGAAATGAGACACCTGCATCATCAATACTGCAACTCAATACCGCGGGATAACAGACTCACCAGCGCAAGGAGAGCCCCTATGGTCATGGGGCAGGGTGAATGCAGCATGGCGGTAAGTATGAGGGCCATGGCATTATGCAAATATTTCTCATGTTCTCGTGTGCCGTGGAGCAAATCTCGTTTTCGATGAGGGTGCAGGAGGATGGTGTATAGGACTATCTTCCAACCGATGCTGCTTGACGATTGTCCATATAGATACGACTGAACCGCGGTGCGGACTGACGACTCATCAAAGAATTTGATGTGCCGGTTGAGAGTGAGGAAGAAGTCTAGGACGCGAACAGATCAGTCGAATTGATGACTTGTTTGGTTTTGAATAAGGCAGCATACCTTTCATGCATTCCGCCACAACAAAGTCCGATGGGAAGGAGTCAGTGGCTGTGGAAACATAGTTGAGGGCTCTTTGAGGCGGGATGCTATTGATTTGGTCCAGAAGTCCCCAGGCAACGCCAGAGAAACGCTTGTCCCCAACCAGCGTGTCAATCTTCTCCATGCCCTCGGCCGAGAAAAGCAAACAAGAACCTGTTGGCTTGGTCAACTACTAGTTCCCACGTAGCTGAGCTGACGTTCAAGAAGTTGATACGTACCACCGGCGCCGATGGCAGCTTCGGGCATAGCGTCAGCGTGGAACAGCTTCGGCCCAGATGAAGTTGTGCTTGACGGGGATGCAGCGCTACTCGTCAATTAAGCCTAATTAATTAAATTAATTAATCAGCTAATTGAATAGAGGCTTTTAGGGAGTTAATTAGATAAATCCATGAGACCTTCGATTTAACTGTCTTAATTAAGCTAATATTACTTAGATTAAATATAATCTAGCTTTTAGACTAATTAAGATTTTAAAAAATATTTATTAAAAAGTTAAAAAAGTTAACTTAATTATTTTTTCTAGCTATTTAAGGTTATAATCCTTTGACCTTTTATACTAAAGTTAATAACTTAAGTTAGTTTTAAACTAATATCTCTATAATTCCCTATATAATAAACTTATTACTAGTTTATTAAGTTTTATTATAATATATCTTTGAAAAAAAAGAATAAGTAGTTATAGATATTTATTTAGTAATACTTTTAAGTTAATAAGTACTAAAATAGAGCTAAATACTTTCTAATAGTACTAGCTTTATTATTAAGAAGTATTAGAAATACTAGAAATATGCTTTTTACTATACTACTTAATTAATATATTTTTAGCTTTTTTATTAAAGCTTAAAAAAAGTTTAGTTTTAACCTTTTTATTAGTTTTTAAAATTAACTTCTTTTTAATATTACTATTAATACTACTACTATACTTATTTTTACACTTCTAAGTCTTTCCTCTATATACTTCTAAATGTTTTTTTTAATATTTTATCTATTAATATAATACCTCTATTAGTATATAATTTAATATATTAATCACTTTATTAGCTATGAAGCGTTTCTTTAAGGGATTACTATTTAGATTTATGTATTTTTAACTATTAGTAATATATTCACTATTAACTTAAATAGGTATACTATTCTTAAAGCTTTACTTTATATTATTTAAAAAAGCTAATATTATATTAATATTGATACTTCTTTAAAGAAAAATAACTAAAGCTAAACCTTTTCAGTTAAAAATAAGGGTATTTCTATTTATAAAATCCTCTTTAGTAGGATTAGAAGTATATTTATTATCTACTTACTCTCTATTTTACTTTTTTATATATGAATTATATATCTAAGTGATATTTATTAAGTTTATTAATATTATAATAAAGCTGGTACTTTTACCTAGTTATAAAATGCTATTATTATATTTAGTACTAAAAAGTATTTTTAATCTGCTTATTATGTTTATAAAAATTAGCTTTATATTATGTATATATTTAGTAATAATTCTAGGAATAATAAGCCTCTTTTTAAATACTAATACTCTCTCTATTACTATATTTTAAAGTAAGGTTTTTTAGATTAAGAAGCTAGCTATAAGCTTTCTTATTAATATTAATAACCTTTTCTTAATATTTAGTAACTAATATATATAATACTTATTTAGTTTCTTAGATTATAATATTTATAATTCAATATATTAGTTAAGAGATTACTAAAAGATTAACTATAATATTTTCATAACTTTAAGAAGTAATAAATTAAAGAGGAGATATAGAAAGTATTTATAAAGGTTTATTTATCATTTAATCTATAAACTTCCCCTAGTCAATATATTATTATTACTATTTTTAGCTATTTTATTAATTAATTAAGTAAATAGACCTAATACGTTTTAGTTTTTTATTATTAACTTAGCGCTTACTTTAATAAAAATGTTATTAATACTATTTATATTATTCTAAAGGACTAAAACCTAATTAATTAGGTTAGTATTGCTATATTTCATAACGCTATAAATAATAATATTTATTTTAAAGCTCTTTTTCTATTTTACTCACTTTTATATATTAAGATTAACGCTTAATGACGCTAAATTTAATACTATAGTTATATTTTTAACCTTATTATTTATATTATTATTTATAGCGTTAATAAAGAGGTATTTAAAGAAGCATTTAACTATTTTATTAATACTAAAAGAATTTAAAATAACGTAACCTAGTAGAAGTAGAAAGGCTTTATTAGAAAGTTTTAAAATATTATTAAATATATTAAAATATCGCTATAATAATCTAAAAGCTTCTTAGCTATTAGTAATAAAGTTATACATAAAAATGCTACTTTTATTTTATAAGAAGAGTTATTTTAAAAGTTAAATCTAATATTAAATAATGCTACTTAATAAAACTTGATATATAATATAATTAAATAAGCTTTACTTAAATATAGTTAAATTAATAGTTATAGTTTTTGTACTTTAGGTCTCTTTAATAATATAGATTGTATTTTAAATAAAGATATTCTCTCTAATAAAAACTGACAGATCTTTATAAAGCTAAACGATATATTTAAGCTACTCTATAGATAGATTAAGAGATATAAAAGCTAAAGTAAGGATAATAGGTATAGCTAATTTTAAAAGGTCTTAATAGGTATAAAATACCTCTTAGATTAACTTAAGGATTAATATAAGCTCTATAATATTTTTATTAATAAAAAGATTAACTTTATAGCTATATAATTATCTTAGAGTTAGTTATTATAATTATCTTAATTGATAAAGATATTATAATAGTTTTAGAGAAGCTTAATAGTAGTATTATAAACCTTATTAATTAATAGTATTTCTATTTATTTTTAGTTTAACTACTTATAGCTAACTTTTTAAAACATTAAGTTTAACTCTTATAGATATTTATATTTATTAATTATTCATAGCTAATAAGTATTTAATAAATATTATACGAAGTTTATAAAGTTTCTTCTCTATGCTACTATAGTGATATGATATTCTAAATAAGGTTTATAATAGCTTAAAAAACGTTAGAATATTTTAGAGACTTATAGATAAGTCTATAATACTTAAAAAAGACTTTATAAGTACTAATAATAATAATATACTAATATATCTAATTAAGCTAATCTATAGCTTTATCTATAGTTTTTATAAGCTATATTTACATTAATTACTATTATTTCAAAAGCTAAAAACTTTAAACATTATCAATAGTTAAATAGTAAAGCTTATAATATTATTATTAATAAAGCTAATAAGCTTAAGTAATATGTTTATGTCTCTATTATTTAGCTTATTACTAATTATATTAGATAATAGATTTTATATTAATAGACTTTCTTAATATTTAGTAAACTTATTTTTAATATCTTTACTATTTTAATAATAATTGTTAACACAGGTATAAGCGTATTCAGGGGCGTGGTATATGCGCCTATATAGTATAAGGTTATAGATGTGGTAATGTTATGATAAAAGGTAATAATTCTGAGCATTTATGAGCATTTAATTGTATAGATAAGAATAAGGGAACAGATGTATTGTGATGAGTCTGGTTGTTGTTGTTCGCAGGTTGCATCCTCTAGTAGGGAAAAGTGAGGGGAAAGATAACCTGAAACGTAACCTGCTAAACTGCTAATTACATAAGGTGCTTACGTAACTATACGTATTATATAATCAATATTATAGTTATAAGTTATAATAAATCAAGTATTTTTATGTAAGGTTTTATTGTCACAGGCTAGAGCCCGGATTGATATCTCCGGCTTCGCCGGAGCAGTTACTGAGATCTGGCTCCGTTGGACCCACCATTCTGCCGCAGTACGCCGCCTAACCCGGCCTGCTTCACTGCTGTTAGGTGCCTACTCTTGTAAAGTCCTTTCTTCCTTCTTCAGCTTAGAATAGTCAATCGACAGCACCTCTATGTTGAACAAGCCTAGGGGCCAGCCCCTTACATTTATACCTTAAACTTTATTAGTTTATTTTATATAGAATATTAAAGTAAGTTTAGCGTTATTATTATTCTTATATTATTATTATTATTATTATAAAAGAATGCTATATGTTAACAATAATAACTAACTATAAGAAGGTATTTAGCTTTATTAAGCTTCTATTAATATTATAGAGGATATTAATAATACTCTTAACGTTTAAGAAAACTTAATACCTCTAGAACTAGATTTAAAGTAGTATTATTACTATAAATAGCTACTATTTTAAATAGAAGGGTTAAAGAAGGTTATATAGCTTTAGATTATTATATAATATATATTTCTACCCTCTAAAATTATTATAAGAGTGTTACGGTCAGCTATCCGACAGTAGGGTCTGCTAACAGAAGCTGGGGATTAATACATTCTAACAGTACACTAGGTCGTGGTCGTAGGTCGTAGTTCGTAGGCTGTAGTAGATTGGGTCTTCAGAGGCCAAGGTGATCAGTCTTAGACTCACTAAGTGATTCGCAGTGAAGGTAAGCTGAGAGTATCCGTGAGGATGAATACTAAGTTGATTGCTGAAGAGCTATGGAAGTCTGACCATAAGCTAGGCTCAGGGTCATACTATATACAGTCTAAGGTAATTTCCTTATTCTGAGGACCATGTCTTTCTGAGCGGTCCCCAGGTGTGGACCGCTTTCTCCGTGTCGGTCCTAAGTCAGGACCGCCTATCTCTTGTCGGTCCTCCTTATCGTCACGTGACTCGTACCATAGTTCTTCCATTCCGAGTGAGTCCCTGTTGTTCCCGTGATCCTGCAGAGTACAAATGTCCTGTCCTAGCCGCCCGACGCCTAAGTGGGGTCGGTCAACTGTTATCCATGCATAACGGGTCGTAACAAAGAGGTATTACTAACTTCTTATTTAGGTAATTATATTTAAGACTAATCAAAATAGTTAAATTAAGTAAAACTATTATGATTAGTAAGTTAATTAGTTAAATTTAACCCTTAGATTTAGCTTAATTGATTAGTGAGTAGCGCTGTAGGGATATCAGACTTAGATCAGGCTGTGGTGGGTTCTATGCTAGCGACGTCTTTATCTATATGGAATGGTCAGTAGTGGCGCTATTTAACGAGGCCTCGCTTATAGCCTAAGGCTGGGCCTCCTAAACTAATTATAGTTCCTGCAGGTCTTTAACTAAGCGCTCTATCTAAGCTAGTCTTGCAGTGACATTTTTATAGAGTCTCTCTCTAGATAGGGGCGATCAAGGTTAGTTGGTTAGCTGTGGTTTTAGGATACGCGGA